ATTGATGAGAATACCAGGATGCTCCACCTGTCAGGCCTAACATGGATGCAACTGCAGAAGCCTGAGACATTTTTGATTCTCCATGTGTCGCAGACAAGTGTCAGACATACTGATTTGCGCAGGAAACCATAGAGCACACTCTCCGGGGACAGCCCTCATCTTGATGGGGCTGAATGATGGCTCAGAATGACAGGGGTAGGAACTATTATGTCTTGTTGTTCATCGACCCAGGCAGATCTTGTGCTAGGTTGCTGAGAACTGCCACATTAAAATAGCATTTGAAATTTAAATTCCTTATAAAACAGTGAGAAAATATGGGTCAGAGAGCTGCTAAGAGAGATGCTAGGGAAGGGGCTGTCACTAAATCACCCTGAAGACTTAGAAGTAACTAAAAGAGTCTCAAGAAAGTGGTCATCATTAAAAAAAAAATACAGAACATCATTTAAGAATTAACGTGTTACGAGCTACTAATGGGGTCCGGCAGTCCCTATCTGTATTTTTATCTCCAAGTATGATTGTTACTTTTGAATTGAGGAAAGGTTAGTTTTGTTGTTCTGATAGAGTTGCAGTATGGGACACAACTCTTGATGTGATGAAGAAACTAATCAAAATTTCGTGCTATTTCTGCATTGGGGTTTTTATCTTGCAGACTGAGAATTATCCTGTACTTGACCTGAATCTTGTCATGAACCTTGAATTCATCTCCCAGCAGACATTCTGTACATTTCCACTCTTGGGTGGCCTCTGACTCTTGCATGGGTCCCCTGGCCCTCCTGAGAAACCCTGCCCTTGTGCCCCTTGGTCACCCTCTACCCTTTCCAGAGCTTGCTCCAGCTGTTTCCCCTTCTTGTTTCTCTGGCTTCAACCTCTGGCTTCTTCTAATCAGCCTGTGAGATTACATATCTAGGCAAAAGCCCCAGTGGGCTTCAGAGTCTGTTGGCTCCAGCTTTTCCTCCCGTGTCCCTCAGCACCAGCTTCTGAGAGGTGCAGCCCACACCAGTGTCGCCTTGCTCCCCACCATCGCCCTTTTGCTGAATGGATGTTGAAGCTATTTTCTCAGGGACCTCTGATGATTCCATAGCGGTTCTCTGTTCCTCCACTAACCTAGAGTAAGGTGGATGCTCATCTCTCTGAGTGTGAGATCAGATGCACATAATCCCCATGATCACCCACCTGAGAGGCAAATTGGACTTTTCTGCAGAAAAATTCAGATATGAAAAGGGTGTGGAACAGAAAAGGAATTCCCAGCCAGGAGTGAACAGGACAACCTGCCACCAACAGGCGAGTGGCACCTACGTAGGAGAGAAGCGAGAATGACCAGGTCCCTTAATAAAATCAAAGGTTAAGAAACCAGATACGTCTTCTCCCCTTCCGGTCCACATAGCATCCAGAGTATTCGCATGCCAACACAGAGGGATCATCTTAAATAGGCATTGGTTTTTATAGCCTGGGCTGGAGTTGTCCCTCCAAGCCTAGCAAGATGTGCACAGAGCTGCTCTGAGCATGTCCACAGCTCTTCCAAGACATCCTCTCCTAGAAGGTGCCATGGAGGGAGTCTTGGATGTTGTGTGTAAGAGTGAGCCCTGCCAATGGGCTCATGAAATGAGTTTTGTTTTATAAGTTCCAAGCTCGGCAGCAGAGTGGGTGGCTAATTTCCTGACTCACCTATTCAACTCATTTGTGGTCCTGACAAAATGCTCCTCCTTGCAGGAACACACTGCCTGGCTTTATTTCCAAGCTGTTCCATTTCTTCACAGGGTAGTTAGGAATGCGCGGAGTCAGAGCCTTTCCTTTTGTGTGGGATATCATTTATCAAGTGGAGTTCAGTTCTTTCTTCAAAAGGAATTGTGGGAATGTCAGAGCAGTTTTGAACTAAACTGAATGTTTAATTAAAAGGCTTTCCCCCAGAAAGGCTTACAGCTCTCTTTGGAAAAAATACCAGAGCCCATCCCCATAGGCCAGAGTGGACTTCATAACTGAGGACGTTGGGGAAAGGAACCCAGGGTCTTACATCTCTGCTCGTGAGCCTAAGAGACCTCTCCAGAAGTAGAGATGAACAGCAAGTCATTTTAAGATCTCAAAAATACAAATGAACGGCTATAGAGACTAAGTCAACCACAGAACTGCTGTGATAGAATTTTCTATTAAAGAATAACTTGACTATTATTTCACAAGATCCTAGCAAAAGGAAAAAGCTGTTAACTACACACCCAATTGAAATCTCCTTGTTTTGGTGAGATGCAGGGTCTTGACTCTAACCTAGAAGGAGAAAGAGATTATTCTGCAGAAGTATTGCTACCAGCCACCACTACCACTGCAGAGGCTGAGGGTTGTGACAAATGTCAAGAGCTACACACTGGCAGAGTAGGTCTTTGCCATTTTACCTGGCATGATTAATAAGACTATTTCATTTGAGTAATGAAATTGATTCTATGCCCGGTTAAAAAAGATGAGGTCTAGCCAAACGTCATGCCAATTCCTGATTTCTTTCTTCTTTTTCTTTCTTTTCCTTTTGATTCTTGCAGTTGTATCTGCTCTAAAAATAGATATTTAAAAAAAATAAATGAATAAAATATTTATTTTTAATTGACAAATAAAAGTGACATATACTTATGATATGCAACATGATGCTTTGAAATATGGTTTGTGGAGTAGCTAAATGAAGCTAATTAACATGTGCATTATCACATATGCTCACCATTCTTTTTGTAGTGAGAACACTTAAATGACAATCTCTTAGAAATTTTCAAGTGCATATTACATTGTTTTTAAACACAGACACCATATTTTACAGTAGATTGAAATCCAGAGTCATTCCTTCCTATCCCTCAAGACCACTGATTCTCCATCCCAAATACCTTGGGAGTGTCTCTCCCACMGTGTCCTCACTGATACTACCTCCTGTTCATCCACTCATGAAGGATTTACTGTGTAAGCCGTGCTAGGCTGTGGTAGTGATACACAGGGAGATGCAAACCAAGGACTAAGTAAAGTGCCAAGCACTGTGGCCACTGGTCTATCAGCACCAAGGAGCCTGATGCATAAGATGCACAGGGCAGAGCATCCTGTGCAGGAATTTGGGGGGCCTGAATACAGGCTTCCTCCTGTCCTGGGGCAGCGCCTCTATTAATGGAACCACTGGGAAAGCCTCCAGCCACATGCCCTTTCCCCAGCCCTGCTGCCTGAGCTTTATTTCTGAATCAGACTCTCTTATTAAAACCCTTCTGTGATCCCCTCTTGTGGCAGGCTGGGGGAGCTTCAAACTTCTTGATCCTACTTGTAAAACCTACAAACTCAACTTGCCTTTCTCCCCCTACCCCAAGTAGCACTGTCTTACACCACCTACTTACTATCCTCCCAGTCCAGGAAATAGGAAAGAATGGAAATGAAAATCCCCACTCTGCCTTAAAATGTTACCATCAGTCTYGTTTTCAACCACTCTCTTTCACCCGTGGCAATCAATCCAATGGATCATTTTCCTAATGATTGCTGTTCACACTTTGCATAACTCTTTCAAATATCAAGGCACTGAATAGCTTTGATGAACACAGATAATCAGCGTGTGATTATTTACTGTCCTGAAGTATTCGCAGAGGCTGGAGGCAAGTACAAGGCAAATAGTACCGTGCTGCAGGCCACCTGAAACAAGTTCTGCTCTTAGGAATCTTGAGTTTGTGCTTCTAGATGATGCCATCTCAGGAGAGAGTAAGAACTGGGGGCCGACAGAGGAGTGGGCCAATGCAACAGTATTTATTCATTCATCTATTTTGTGATTTGTGCATTAAACAGTTGCAAGTTAGTTAAATTCTGTGTTGTAAAGGTGGGTCCCATCCCCAGGGATCTTCCAGTCCCTTCTATGTTAAGTTTGTGATTTGATCCAAATGCTAGGATCTTTTTTTTTTTTTTTTTTTTTGGAAAACCACACAGATTTATTTACTATAAGAGTTATGGGACATGAGAACCTTTATAAGGAAATAAAGACCTGAAGAAATAGTTACATTTTTTTAATAGTAAGTTTGATGAGAATCCAATGGTCATAGAGAACAGTGACAGAGCAAAAGTGTGATCTAATAGTAACAAGCTGGGGAGGAGTTAGCAAGGCCTGTTTGCTCAGGTTCTTCTCAGTGACCTTTTGTCTCAGAGATAAGGATGCTCCTTTTCTCAGGTATAGGAGAACACCTCTCACCTGAGCATCTTAGGACTTGCTTTGGAGAGATGAAAAGAGGAAAGTCAGAGAGACCTTCCTATTTCTGCAGCTTCCTCAAATTCCTTCAGTGTGAACTATTCAGTGTGCCAACATGACAAATTTTGAGGCAACCGTCCCATCTACAGGATGAGTGTGTTCTGATTCTTACAAATCCTGGAGGACTTGTTACTGTCCATCCATGTCTTCCCTGCAAATGCTAGAATCTAAAAGGAATGGACCTGTTTGTTGCTGAAGAAGTTAGGGGTTTCAGAAAGGGTGACTTGAAAGATTCTTAAAGAATGAATAAAGGGCTCTTAGGTATCAAGAAGAGTGTGTGTGTGTATGTGTGTGTGTGTGTGTGTGTGTGTGTGTGTGTGTGTGTCTGTGTGTGTGTTTAGGGAATGGATGAGTGGCAACAGGTGGATGACAAAGAAATTGCTGCCCTGTTAGAAGAAATCAAAATGCAAAAGTAGCTAACAAAGCATACTGTATGTTTGGAAAGCTGTGGAAGTTCAGCATGGCTTGAGGAAAGCAGCCAAGGATGCAGAGAAGGAGTGTAGAGAGAGACACTGCTGGAGAGTAAGCAGGCCCAGACTGTACTAAGGAGCTCAAATTTGTCAGCACTGGGGAGCCCAGAGAAATCTCCATGCAAGGGAATGAGATGATCAGCCTTTTGGGGAATAAACATCTGGTGCCCTATGGTGGATGGATTTGAGAAGACCAGTATTTAATGACTGCTGTGTAGAAGTGACCACAACCTAGAAAGTTCCATACTCTGTCCAGCTAACTCTGCATCTTTTTGTGTGTCTTCTAGTGACTGTGCTGGCCATTTTCCATGAACTGCATGTCGACCCGGACCTGTACACCCTCTTGTTTGGAGAGAGTGTGTTGAATGACGCAGTGGCCATAGTCCTTACATAGTAAGTACCAGAACTTGGGCTGTGTTTCTTTAACCACGTAAAATATGTCCTCTTAGAGATCATTCCCCATGCCTTTAACATTATCTTTTCTGTATGTCATAGAGATACAGGCAATTTCTAGCTTTTAAGGAATTGTTATCACAGAAAATCTCCAATAATAGGCACAATTCATTAGGCACCTAATTTCTAATACTATTAATGGGTTTTGCATTTCCAGCTTATTACAAGAAACTACCCAGAGGGTAACAGATTTTTTTTTCCCTCACTGCATATCTTTAGCTGATCCACTTAGGGTTCCTCAAATGAACATAAATGAGCTTTCTTCATTTCAAATCAATATCATTTTTTTCCTCATGCAAGTTACTTTCCAGAAAATACACTAATAGAAGCCTTTGTCTTTATGGGGAGGTGGACAGATTGGAGCTAGAACTTGAGGGTCAGAACACTTTGATTTCTCAGTGCAATTGCAGGCTTTGGATCATCCCAGGACAAATGGAACTGAAGGAGCTTCAAGTAAGACCTAATGTGATGCCCCTTTGTGCTGGAGGATTCGCTGTTTGAGATGAGCACCAGTGTTCTTCCCACATGCACCTCCTCTTTAGACACTCATCATTTATATTTAATAAATGCCACTTTGGTGGCTGTTAGTATGTCAGAGGTCTCTTCTTGGTTTTAGATTAAGAACAACGTTTTGGGCAACTGTCAGATATCCCAATGGAAAGTAGCTATCTGATAATTAAATGTGACAACAGGATTCAATTCTGAGCGTTAATTACTTCAAATGCAGTTGAAAATGTATTGTGAAGCAACAAAGGATTTTAAAAGTCAGATCTCACAAGGGGAGGAAGAAAGAGCAGAACTCCTCTTTTTTTYCCCCCTGCCAGTTGACATTTCTTAAAGCTGCTGCCCTAAAGTCACCACTAAATTCAGCAACTTTCAAGTGAGTCTCCAAATACCTTTTACCTGGCCACAGAAGGAGGGGCCTTTCTCCCTGCCTCAAAGGAAAATATCAGCGAGTGCAAATTAAAAGCAAAAGTCATGGGCAGATCCACAAATGTTAAAAGGATGCTTTTAAAGAGACACCAAGAGCAATTAATTAGGACATCAGGAATCCCTGTCCAAGAAATACTAACATTAAAGCAACATTTGGAGTAAAAATTTTTAAAAATCTGCTGAGCCCTCAGTTTTACTTCCTGAGCTGCTAAGTTGTAAAAGGCCAAACGAAGCAAAACCACTAAAGTGCAAATGAACTCAGGAGAGAACCATGCAGCTACAACTGTCCAGCCTTTGCGTGATGGACACTGCTATCCACAGTGGTCTCCCATTAAAAACACAGACACCAAGGACGAAGGTAGATTCCATGGTGCACAGGCCTGGGGGCACCTGAAACCAAGCACTTCCTATCTCCTCAAGCCAGTACCTGGTTATTACTGGCAATGCCTCTCCTTCCCCTCTACCCATGTCTTAATAACGTCTTCACCATAAAATGTGGTTGGCATCCTGGCAAGGTTCTTTTCTGATTAGGAGACATTGGCCACCCCCCAGCTTCCCAGTTTTGGTGATTCTGGTACTGTGCACAGTGACCCTAGTGGGTTCTGATTAAAATAGAGGTCATGGTAGTTAAGAACATTTGGCTGCCCTAAGTCTCCAGTTCAGATCTACCAGCTCTCCTTTCACCTGGTGCATTTGACCTCACCAGCCCCTTCTTGAGCTGCATTGCATACCCCCCCCCCCCACCATGCACCCGCGATGGCCTTCCTGGGTCTGCACTCTATTCCTCCAGTGCTGCCTGGGGCTGACCACTTCCTCCCCCTGCACAACCTTCCCTGGGTCGTTCTCTTCACTCACTCTCTTGCTCCTTAAATGTGCTTTATAGCATGCATGATGATTTCTTTATAATCTACTCCTACACAATTCCTTCTTGGAATGCCCCATCCTCATCTTCTCTCTTCCAACCATTTTCTAGCTCCCTTAGGAAGATCCTATGCTAATATCATTTAAAGAGTTTCCATGACTTTCAGACCAAAAGTTCAAACATTTATCTCCCCACTTTTCTTTGCTTTCACACTGATCCAAGCACAGCCCACCAACACAGCCCTCTGGGAGACAGTGCCATGCCTTACCTTACTGTCCCCTCACCCCCGCATTGCCGTCCCAGTTCCTGTCTCTACCCAGTTGTCTCTCAACTCTCACCCACCTTCAGGAAACAGCAGCCCCCAGGCTGAGGCCCGACCTCATTCCTGTGCCTACCTCTGTCAATCTCCTTCCAGCTAGTATTGGACTACATGTATATTTGCCTTTCTAAATTGTAACCTTTTGAAAGCAAAGCATATGAACTTGAAGTGTGTGTTCAAAGAACAAACTAAAACTTGTATATGTGTCTTCCCTTTCTTAGTTCCACTTTTGTGAGATTTTGAAGCTTAAGAATAGTGATGGGGGCTGGGGATATGGCTCAGTGGTCAAGTGCTTGCCTACAATGCATAAGGCCCAGATTTAATGCATAACAACACACACACACACACACACACATACACACAATAGTGACAGCTATTCTTATATCATAGAGAACAAGTTATACATTTTGATGTGTATTTAGGAATACATTATTCCCCACACATTTTAACCATGAGAGAGATATTCCAAGACCTTGATAAGAAGGCTGAAACCTTGGATTTTTATTGTTTCCTTCCCTATATATACATCCATACTTGTGTTAAAGTTTATAAATCAAGCACAGTGATACATTTAACAACAATAACTAGTAAGAGAATAATTATAACCATATACTATAATAAAAGTTATTTAAAGCTTTTGAATCCTTTATTTTGTAATTTCCCATTTATATTTTCAGACTTCAGTTGACCATGATTTAATGAAACTACAGAAATCAAAATTGCGGATGTGTAATAAAGACTACTGTAATAAAGAACCCAAATTATTGACAACTATGGCCCTTGGCAGTGTCTACAGAGCCCCTTTGTAATAGCCATGCACTTTCATTTACCTTCCCATCTTCTTCCAGATAATATTGCTTAAGAACCATCCTCTTTGGTTATAATGTTTTTATATTTTTAATTGTCAGTGTTGTGACAATACTGTGCTACAGCATTTAGCCACAGACTATGCCGGCCTTAGACTGTGCTTGTCCAAGAAGCAAATAATCATAATACTGTTTCTTAGGTTAACTGCCCTCCAAACTTCAGACAAGTAACTTATAATTGAATTTCATGACCACAACTCTTATACATAGCACCAGGTGATAGATGCTACTTTTCTTTCTTTCTTTTTTTTTTTTTTTGTTCAGTACTGGAGATTAGACCCAGGACTCACACCTGCTAGGTGAGCTCTCTGCCACTGAGCTGTATTTCCAGCGTTTATACCATGTGTCCATAGTTTAAAATGATCCAGAATTACTTGTCCCCAAATAAAAGTAACTTTATTTAACACAAAAGTTCTGAAATTAGTTTGCCCCTGACCTATATTGTTATTTCAAGAATACAGGAACATCATGCTTAAACCTGATCCACACTGGCTCAGGAATGAGCCCCACATGATGGATTTGCGTTTCCAAAGTTGTTTCATAGACCGTGAAGGGAGGCAGAAGATGTAGTGAAGAGATCTGGAGGCCTGTGTGTTTGTGAATCCCAAACAAAGACGTTGATTTCAGGTGCAGCGTGGCACAGTCGAAAGAAGCCTGAACAAGAAGCCACCAGATCTAGTGTCAGGTTTACCACTGATGAACTGTGCAGTTCTTACAGTTGACCAGAAACCATCCTAAACAGGGGTGAAGAAAAAGGGAGTCCATGTTGGCTGATTTAAATGAGCAGCAGAAATAGAAATGGCTGAGGAAAGGACTCAGAGAAATAAGCAGGACCCTCCTTCCTCATTCAATTTCTCTGGTCACAAGATGGCCGCCGGCATTTGGCCAAAATGGAGAGAGAATCTCTGTCCCACCATTCCCATCCTAAATCTTGGTACCTRGTAGATTCTGACGCAATTCCAGACCACCTTGGAGCTAATCACCTTGGCTAAAGGAATGTTCTGTATTCACTGGCTCAGGCCTAAGTTACATGTCCATGAGTTCCAGGGTGTGATTGGCTTGATTTGGAGCTGAAACCAGGAAGGTGGTATTATTGTTCAGGTAATGTTGCCATCATAGAGGAAAAGTCGATGCTAGATAGAAACATAATAATAAAACCTACAGAACCATACGGTGATTCTGTGTGGCCATAAACTGTCTGGACTTATTTCCTCATCTGGAAATGTAAGAATAGTTGTCTTATTACAAGATTTATAACAAAATTATCCTAAGCAACATAGAAAGTAATACAGTTGGAAAGGTTCTATATATTTATCATCTATGTAGTCTGGGCTACACAAACCGAATATACTTATATAATTTCCATCATCATTTGTATCAGCGTCTTTCACTGCACTTACACAGATCTCTCTGTTTTCATTAAAACGACTACAGATAGACCTGCTTCCAGTGAAGCATTTCTTCATAAATATGGCATTTTATGATCCAAAGAATATAGAGAATAACCATTTTTCCATGTGATTTTACCCCATTAGGAATGAGACAGTTAAGACATTGTCTAAAGTTGATAAATCAAGAAATAGAAGTTGAAGTATATGACTTAAAGTTACAAAGTACTTACAACCAAAATTGATGCTGCTCCAGTCAATTCCAGGAGGGTAGCTTCCACACCTCTCAGAGTAGGAGATCCAGAGATGCCTCACAGAGCTGATAAATCAGGAATGGAGCTATACTAATACTAAGACGGAGGGCAACCATCAGAAGAAATAAAGACATAAATGGGTAACATCAGGTGCCTGGCTGTGTAGGATCATGATTTAGGCAAAGGGGACAAAGATAATTTTACTCTTTATTTTATATTCATCTGTGTTGTCTGAATGTTCTTAATGTGTTTGAATTATATGGATTTAAATATTTTTCATTCAAACAAGATATCAAAAGCAGAAACTATAAAGAAAAA